GCATTTATAATTGCCTGGAAACTTTTTCATTTTTTACTTCTAATTCTGACTATTGCGACATAAACACACATAATAATATAATTTGATATTATAATAATAATATCAAATAATACTAATAATAATTACTCTAAAAACCCTCTAAAATGACCTCTGCTTAACCAATCATAGGTTTGAGTAGCAGTTTTAAAAAAAGGGGGGATGGGGAGTCATGTAACATGTCGCGTTTCATTTTCAATCTTTTTTTTCCTCAAAAAAAAAGGGGGGAGGGAGAGTTTAGTAAAACGGTAAAATCATTTAAAATCTTTCAGAAATTATTTTCATACTTTGCAAGAAATTTTTTGAGTAAATAAGTGTAAAATGAAACCAAAATAAAAAGCGCTTGGCCCCACCAAAATGAAATGAGCTAGAACTGTGATCCGCGGGCCGGTACCGGTCTGTGGATCAAATAGCAATGGGCCGTCCAAGGAGTATTAAATTATTTCTATTTTAATTACTGTGGTGTATTTTTCTCTCCGGTTTGTGTAGCTTTCCATAGTTAGATTTATATTTCATGTTAAATCACTCAATATTCATTTTTAGTGTAACTGTATTTTTTGTTCTGAAGGCGTATTTAAATGCAATTAAATTAAATTTATTCAATCAAAACAATCTAAAATTTAAACAATCAATTCCGCACCCTCAGCGGTCCGCGGTAAAATTATCAAACATTGACCGGTCCGTGGCGATAAAAAGGTCGGATATTCCTGAACTAGAATATTTCAGCGGAAATGATGAGCTCAAAACACATAGATGTTGCAGGAAAATGAAGAAATTAGGAATCTCATCAAATCCCTAAGGGAGAAGATCACTTGACGGTAGATGTTAAAATAACGTCTCTTCAAGGTTATTTCCCTGATAAAAGTAAGGGATTTGAACGAATCCCTGAGCTGTTTCAGTGAAATGATGAAATAATATTTTATCAAGAGTTTAAAAGTGTTTATTTAACAAATATGGTGCATTATTAAACGTAGAAGTAAGTAATACAACAATAGTCAATGAAATACAAATTATATTTATTCGAAACTAATTAACAAATAATTAGAAAATTAGGCTGGTAATCAATCCCTATGTTAATCCTGTGGTGTCATTTTTTTTAAAGATATGGGGGTGATATTTAAGGAATCGATAGTACTAGGACTTGACCCCTCCTTCAGGTATCTCCCTTCCCTCCGTATAGCATTTTGCCAATGCAAATCCTGACTATAGTTCATTTAATCATTTCACTGAAACAATTCAGGGATTTGATAAAATCACTTACTTACAACAAGAAAAAAACCTCAAAGAGACGTTATTTTTACATCTCTTGCATGAATTAACCATCTCCTTTAGAGATTTGATGAAATACCCTATTTCAACATTTCCCTGCGACATAGAGAACTGTACTAAAACGATATATGTTTTTATATGTTCACAAGACACTTTTTTATATTTCAGTTTTATGTGTGTGGCAGCTGTTTTTTTTTTACTAGTAAACAGCTTAATGATTTTAGATAAAGTTTAAAAAAACCCTTAAAAGTAGATTTTTTACCCCTCCCGCCAAATGTTCAACTAACAGAATGATTTAAAAGCACAGTAAATGTCTCGAAGTTTATATTTGCTAAATGTACTAAAGATCTCTAGCCGAGAATGAAGATTTCTTAACTTCTCTACCTTTTATCATTTTTTTTACCATTTGCAGCGTCTTTCTGCTCAGACGTGTTGCTCAGAAACAAACTATGAAGGCCCAGATACCCAAGGATCAACAAGTACTGGGCATTCGTTTATCGATTTTCTTTTCGGCACGTGTAGAACCAGGGTTGCCATACGTTTCTGAAAGGTATTTCGTAAGAAAATTCTTAGAACAAGTAAATTAAAAATTAGAATAAGTAATTACCAGTTCTCGGATTTTGCAAACCTTTGATTTTTTTTAATTTGCTAGAAAATATGTGTATAGGAATCTACATAATTGCTTTTTATTCTCATACACTTTTACAACTACACCATATCTTCAGATCAGGTCCATTCTGATAATTTGGGGAAGGGAAGAGGAGAGAAGTATTATTTTGTGTGTGTCATTTTCGCGGATTGCTAAATCTTTTCTTTTTTTATTATTTTTGAACCGTAAGAATTTTTCAAAACTTGTTCTCTAAGACAAAAAACCCCCTCAGTTTTCTTTCTTTTTTGCTGAAGGTTTATAATAAATAATCCCCGGATTTACATTTTGTGTTCGTTTTCTATTCGTTTTGTGTTCATTCGTTTTTCATTCAATGGAATATTTTAATTATTTATTCAAAAATCTTCCATTGAATATTACCAATTTTAGCCATAGTTTATAAAATTTCCATATAATTAAACTCCTGATTAATTCTTCGTATAATTAAATAACTACTTCATCTTTTCAAGTTTTGTCCCTAAATATTTTTAAATAATTCATCGTCAACAATCACTTGATATTTAAGTTTCTTTTCTTTTCGTGATTATAGTACAGATATTTTATGAAATCATTTTCCCCCTATATACTATATATTTCAAACTCCTGGATGCTAAAACTCATTATAAAATTGTTTTTTGAATAATTGTATCACTTTTAATTATATTAAAATTACTTCATCTAAAGAAAGGCTTGCATAGATACAAAAGATTAAATCTATTTGTACAGACGTTAATGAAACAAATAAAAGTGGCAATTAGTCTAGTGGTCATTGTCACGATCTCGTGGGCTCGAGTCCTGATGCCTTGAAGCCTTTCCGTGAAGAGGGACTGATGCACTTGAAATCGATCAAAGTTCGAGTGAGTGAATATTAACGTCGCACTGTTCAGCTACACGAGGGCTTTTGGCGACGGACCACGTAATTTTGAACCATGGGCAAGTGATGTGGACGACACCTGAGGTGGCACCTCTTTCTCCTGACTACCACACCAAAAAGGGGGGAGTTTCAGCTCTCGACAGATTTAGCGTGCATCGCTGCCCTACACGACGGATCTTTAGTGGTGCTGGGCTCAAACTCATGACATGCCTGCCATGATCCGATACCTTGACCACTGGGCTACCATAGCCCTTATCAAAGTTCGAAGCCCTCTCGTTGGCATAGTGTGGAAGTTATGAAAATGGGATACCAGTTTAGTGCCGTCCTCGTTACTTGACCGGGGCTCAAAATTACGAGGACCGTCAAACTTGTAATTTAACATGGGCTCCTATGTTCATAAGCGTCTCTCCTTTAATCAAAATTGAGTTTTGTAAATTATTAATTAGTTGAATAAAACAACCCAACAATTTCATGTTGTTGCTAAACAAGAAAATGGAAAGAAAACAAACATTTTCTTTCAATTCCAACTATTAGTTCACACTCTCCCTATATATATATATATATATATATATATATATATATAAATTGGGAGTTTCTATTTTTTTTATACTTTTGTTAAGTGCTACATTTCAGCTATTCACATGCTTTGAATATGCATTATAGTCCAGAATCTGGCAATAACTTATTTATTGCACTCACATTTAGCGCGGGCTCTGCATTTTTAAGTGCAATTTTTGGGTAAGTTACTTCTATCTTGTAATGGATTTAGATATTCCTATCCATTACTTTCAATAGGTTTTTGCTCAGTATTATTTACATAAAGGAGGAAGGTTGGTTGGCCAAAAAACATGTTCAACCCAACTTTTATAAAAATTATTTTATATATTAGCTGTCCTAAGTCAGCAATGTTTATAATACTACAGCATGCATTTTATAATTTTTAATCTCGGCTGCTCATGTGTCCTTCATTGTATGATCTTTCTACTGTCTATATGTTTTTGTCGAATGTGATTGATGAATGTCTATCTCTTGTTTGTAGAGAATTAGACTATATATATATATATATATATATATATATATATATATATATATATATATACATATATAAGGTGACCATTTTTTACCATGAAAAGGAGGACGAAAAATTTAAGAGAAAATTACTACTTAAATATATGAAACGTTTTATTAATTCAAACAAAAATATGCTAATTACGCTTACATACTTTTTAATTATTATCTTAAAAGAGTATTTTCCATTGATTGAAATTTTTTTGTTTGTCAACATATCATTTTTTTAATCTATTGGAAAGTTTGGGCAAAAAATATCCTTCATACTGAATTTTACCGTAAACACTGTAGTTAAAATATTCATATTCAATTTTGTGTGATTTCTCACTAGTCACTTCACAAAAATCATTACCAACTGAAAAAAAACTCTTTTAACTGCTACATTAGTTCCAGGGCAGAACAACGTAAATTCATCAAGAATAATTACATTTTCATATGGAATGTGTTCATCTTTGAAATGGTTTAAGTAATTTCACCTATCTTTTACCAATTTCCCAGCATGTTGATTTTCCAACTGTTCTAATTTATTAGAATTTAAAGATACATTTAGTCTTCTTTCTATTTCAAACAGACAATTTTGATTGATTTTAGTATCAGGCATTTCTTTCGATAAAAAAACTCTATCTAATCATATCTACCCAATTTACATGCGACAAAGTCAAAAAATACCATTGAAAACTGTTATTTCCTGTGATATTTGTTTCAGACCATTCTTCGACATTTTGGTAACATGTTTGGTTCATATCTGAATACTGAGATTAACAAAAAGTTTTTAAATATTGAAAAGGAGGACAAAAAGGAGAGTACTTTTCGAGGAAGGACAGAATCTATAAAAGGAGGATGGTTGGTCACCTTAATATACATATATATATATATATATATATATATATATATATATATATATATATCTTGCTCAAATTTTTAATCATTAATAAAATACTTTTTTTATTCATCTATTCAAGTTCAAATACATTTTTTTAAACTTGTAGTGAATGACACTTGATGTAAAAATAGTTTTTTCAAATATTAATTCATTAATTAAATGTAATTAATGAATAAAAAGAAACAAACAAAAATAATAGTTCAACAGTATATATAAAAAGGAAAATCGCTCATTGTGTCCCCTGTAGAGCAATGGACTTCTAATCCAAAGGTCGTGGGTTCGAATCCCACCAGGGATGGCCTAATTTCTGAGAATGTGATTTTTTTTAATATACTGTTTTATTTGAATAATTAGATTCAGTTAATGAATAAATAGTAACAAACAAAAATAACAGTCCAACACCATATATAGAAAGGAAAATTGAAAATTTCAAGGAAAACCGCTTTCGATTTTGTGAATTAATATTGTGGTTCTGCCATAATATGTGTATTTACATATTTATATTAATTGTAATAATTTAATAAAATAACTAAAATATAAAAATTTTCTTTGTTGACCTAAGTGGGAATTGACTTAATTTTTTTATATATAAATATTATTCGTTTTTAATCGTTTTATGTTTAAGCAAACGAAAGAGTAAGGTGAAAAATTTTATCACAGCAAATCTGTTAAAAGTAATGAAATCGTTAGTAAGAACATTTGAAATGCTTGGCTTGGCGTCTGCCAACTTGCGCCATAAAACCCTAAATTCACTCACTCACTCACTCTTGGCGTCTGCCAAAACAAAGAAGCCAAATTCGGAGCACAAAAAAAGAGAAACTCGCATCTTTTCTGACAAAAGGGAACAAAAGCACTCATGCTAGTTTCTCTCGAGTAAGACCAAACAATTTTTTTCGACTGTTTTCTCACGTCCTGTCTCGATTTTACTTGTCCGTGTGTGGCCTTTTGTTTAGTTTCTGTGTGCTAGATTTTTCTGCTAAGAATCTCGGAAAGCATATAAAATATATTTGCTGACACATCGAAAATTCGATTTTTTAAATCTCGTCGGTGAGAACCACCGCGCGTTACGTCTCTCTCATTCTTTCATACAACGATCAAAAACAGTATTCGACAAGCGAAGATTTCTGCATATATATTGATTTAATAAATAAAAATTGCATAAAAAACAAAATAATTTTTATTGATTTTAAACTAAAAATCTTTAAGTATTAAATGAATCATCTTTTGCAATACATTAAAATATAATAAATTAACAAAATCACCATTATTTCGTTCAAAGGCAGTTAAACAAGCAAAAAAAAAAAATTTGACAAAACATAAAATTAAATGAAAATAATTCAAATAATCTAATACTAATATCTAGTAACTCTTCCTCTTCGATGGATGACTTCTCTTAAACACTGTGGCCTCTATTTCACCAAATTTTCTGTCACCTGTTGGTCAGTTTTTTTGACCATTCCTCCCTAAGGATCTCCACCATTTGACGTTTGTTAGAAAAATGGTGCTCTCTTAATATTTTTTCTAATATCCTCCACAGGTGCTCAATTAGGTTGAGGTCTGGTCTTTGGGTGGGTGTTTTATAACTTTGGGGCAGTTGTATAGCAGCCAAAGCCTTGTATTTTGAGTGGAGTGTTTGGGGTCATTGTCTTGGTAAAACTGGTAGTCCTCTTAGATTCCCAGGTTTTCAGCACTGGCATGCAAATTTTCTTTTAAAATCTGTATGTAATACAGATGGTCCATTATGCCGTTAATTACGACAATATTACACCCACTCCTGAACTCCCAAACCATTATACCTCATCCTCCATGCTTAACTGTGGACACCATATTTCGCTTTTCCAACTCAGCCTTGTGTTTTCTGTACACTATAATTTTGCCATTGCATCCGAAAAGATTAAATTTGCTCTCGTCTGCAAAACTTTCATTGTGCCAGAATTCTACTGGCTTGTTTGTACATTTTCTAGCAAATTCCAGTCTTTGCACTTTGTTCTTTTTGGATATGTATGGTTTCTTTCGAGCAGTTCTAGCCTTAAATCCGTTATTATGCAGGTAATTGCTAACAGTTTGGGCATAACATCTATATCCAAATAATCCTTGGTAACTTTTGCCAAATTTGATGCATTGGCTTTGGGTTCCTTTAATTTTACGTAAAAGCAGTGGCGTAGCTAGTTCTGAGTGGGCCCTGTATCAAAATTCTTTCGGGGCTCTTTTTTAGATATGAGAGCCATGTTAGTAGGACTGTAGTTACACACGTTGGGGCCCTGTAGCTTGGGTGCCCCGTATCATTGATACAGCTGATACGGCGGTAGCTACGCCCCTGCGTAAAAGCCATCGTTCCGTCGCTTCGGAATATTTTTTTGGTCAACCAGATCTTGGCCTGTTATTAACCAATTTTTGCTTTTTATACTTTTTAACTGAATAGTGTATACTTGTTCTTGGCTTATTTACAATAGTTGAAATTTTAATTTCAGATAAATCATTTTTAAAGTGCATAATGATTACATTCTTAATTTACACTGACAACTCTCCTTGTTTTCGGCCCATCTTGCTCACTGCTTAAATAAAACTTTCTAAATGCCATCAGAAATAGTCAAAATGTTTTGAATTACAAAATTTGCAACCACACTTACGGTAATTTTGCTTCTCGGAATAAAAAATTTATCAAAGCCTCCTATGTCGAATACTTATTTTGCTTGTCAAACTACTTTTAAAAATTATTCCGGTGATTTTTTTTTTGCTTAGGTTTGTTTTTTTAAACAAAAGAACTTCTACATTAGAAACTGAACTGTTATATGCAACAAATAATGAAACATACTTTCGTTGTTTTTGCATAGTAAAGTGTTTAAAGTCCATATTCGCAGAAATCGTTGCATGTCGAATACTTATTTTGACCGCTGTATATGTATATGTCGCAGGAAAATGAGGGAATTAGGAATTTCATCAAACCTCTAAGGGAGATCAGTTGACGGTAGATGTTAAAATGCGTCTCTTCAAGGTCATTTCCCTGATAAAAGTAAGGGATTTGAACAAATCCTTGACATGTTTCAGTGAAATGATGAAATAATATTGTCAAGAGTTTAAAAGTGTTTATTTAACAAATATGGTGCATTATTAAACGTAGAAGTAAGTGAACAATACTCAATACAACAATAGTCAATGAAATGCAAATTATTTATTCGAAACTAATTAACAAATAATTAGAAAATTAAGCTGGTATTTTTTTATGTGAAACATCTTTTCTCTCAGTTGCTTACACACTAAAATATCAATACCTATATTAATCCTATGGTGCCATTTTTTTAAAGATATGGGGTTGATATTTAGGGGATCGATAGTACTACCTTATGGTTAGGAAGTACAAGGACTCGACCACCAGGTGTCTCCCCCCCCCCTCTGGACAGCATTTTGCCATTGCAAATCCTGACTATAGTTCATTTCACCATTTCATTGAAACAGTTCAGGGTTTGATAAAATCACTTACTTTCATCATGTGAATGACCTTGAAGAGAGAGATGTTATTTTAACATCTCCCTCAATTGCTCCTATCCCTTAGAGATTTCATAAAATTCCTAATTTTGTCATTTTCCGGCGACATATAAATCAATGTGAATCATATATGTATATATATGTGTGTGTGTGTGTGTGATGTTACGTTAAATTTATCACAAGCCGGCGCGTACAACACCTGAGGAGTTAATTTCTTCTAATACAATACACACATTTTTATGAGAACGAATGAATTTTGATATTTTATAAATCATAATAAATAATCAATGTTGACACGAACATTGTAAAACGGATTTTATTACTTTAATTTTCCTTTTTAATTTCACAATTATAAAATGTCTTACAAATTACAGATAATCAGATCCATCAGCTCTCATTTATAGAAATATATTTTAGAGAGAGAGAGAGAGGTATAAAAATATATCTTAATAATATACATATTTTCAGCAATTTAAGAAAAAAAAGAATAGAAACTAATTTCATACAGACGATTTAATGCAAATATGGAAAATAGAGGAAAAAAAGTTTTGAAAAAGATATATATTCGATCAATTTTTGAATTATCAACAAGGTACTGAAAAGTTGATAAACTGCAAAAGAAGGTGGTTTTCAGTTGTATTTGAAATTCACATCCATTTCCTTATAATTTTTTCCTAAGGAAGAATAAAAAAGATAGAAGTAAAAAAAAGCTATAATATCACTTAAATAACTTAGAAAAAACATTATTATAAAGCGGAAAAAATGTATTTATAGATAATATTTTCTAAATGAAAAGAATAAAACATAAAGGATAGTTTTATTTATAATTTGCCTTATCTACAACCAACGATATTTCGCGCACCTTTTCTAAGTGCGCGTGCCGTAAGTTGCTGTTCTAATCATATCTAATCTAAACCGTAAGAAAATCAAAAACATATTGTTAGTTATTTTTTTCTTAAAAGGATATCTACAACACAATGTATTTTCTAATAAAGAATTGCCAAAAGGTGGTTTTCTAAAAATTTTTTTTTAATATATCCTACCTCATATCTCTCTTCTACGTACATGAGAATTCATACTAAAGCTAAATTGTGAGAAGAGAAAGTTGTTATCGATGCCGCACATGACTCGTAGATATATTAAAAACAAATAGAAAACAATTCTTTTGGTAATTTATTTAAGGGGAAAACGATACTTTATTTATAACCAGATTTCTAATTAGATTAAATTATAAAAATTTTGAAAAATATGATTATTTTTCTCCAATTTAAAGTTTAGTTTTTTTTTTTGCTGGTATTTGTTGAATTTCTGCTTGCCTTATTGAATCCTGGATAATGTTTCCAAAGGAACATCAATTCTAAAGTAGTATTGTTCATCAGTGCTCGCTACGGCATGTTAAATCTGTCGAGGCAAAAACTCCTCCTGTTGGCGTGGTGTGGAAGTTCGGGAAGTGCGATGTTAGATTAAGTACCATCCTCGTCCCCTGATCATGGTCCAAAATTTCGAGATCCTTCACCGAAAGCGGGTCAGATCCAAAATAGGGGTCAGATATAGGTTTACTTTTATGGGCCTTATAAAACTTATACCTTCAAATTAAAACCCTACAATACTGTCTACAGGCAGAGATATTCTCTAACGGATTCTCCGTCCTGTATGAACTGTAGTCAACAACGTTAAAATTTTAATATTTATATATATAATTATCATCAATTTTATTTCTTGAAACTCCTAACGTTATATCTATATTTCTTAATTCTATAAAGAAGAAACTTTCGATTTATCGTGAATTTTATATTTTCTACGTTAAGGCTC